TTATATTAAAAAAAAACAAAAACAAAAACAAAAAGTTATGAGATAGCTGTCTAATGTTGCAAAATTATTTATTGCAGGCCATTCTTCCATTGAGGGGTAAAATTCTGAACATTGAAAGGAAGGATGAGGCAGCAATGTATAAAAATGAAGAGATTCAAAATCTAATTCTTGGTCTTGGACTTGGAGTGAAGGTTGAACAAAGTTTTTTATTATTATAGTTACTATTATTACAATTATCGTCATCATAATCTAAAAAGAATAAGGTATGTAATCTTCTCTGTTTCAGGGAGAGGACTTTAAGAAGGAGGCTCTACGATACCATAAGATTATCATCTTAACAGATGCTGATATAGATGGTGCTCACATCCGTACTCTGCTATTGACATTTTTCTTCAGATATCAGGTAGGGAACGGATATTTTGTGCAATTTTTTTCCCCCATGGTATGTAATAAACGGAAAAAGAGAGTAAAAAAAATGAACATAACAAACCCGACTTATTTACAATGATTTAAAATATCAAATAATGCGGTAGTTCTTGCCTGCAGAGAGCCTTATTTGATGAGGGCTACATATATGTTGGAGTTCCACCCCTTTACAAGGTTTGTATTTGTATCGGAATTAATCGTAGGGATTTTGAAGAATACTATACAGTTAAGTCCATTGTTTTTGCTAAAATGACCAGGTTGAGAGGGGAAAGCAAGCAAAATATTGCTATGATGATGCTGAACTTAAAATGCTCCAGAGTTCCTTCCCTCCAAATGCATCTTACAACATTCAGAGGTTTAAAGGTTAGTATGAACATCATGAAACTCAGGTTTATATGGTTACCTGCATATTGGTAATGCAGTTAAATACACTGCTAAGGGCATACGCAAGTCAGTAGGTCTTTTATGGGCATGGGCTGACCAGTGTCCACAACGGTCAGCTGACTCTCTGCATGCCTTAGACTGTACTATCAAAATGATATGTTCATGTTAACTATGATGGGGCAATTATATAGAGGAGATGACATTGTACTAGCGACTACTAGATGACTATAGTGAGTGCTAACTACATTAATGGGGCAACTTTTTGTGTAACTTTGTGCATTTTACTAGATAAGGCAATTTGTCTCCACTAGATTGTATGTGTGATTATTAGAATTCATAGAATTATCTTTTCAACACATGTTTTGTTCCAAGCTTTGTGAAATTTGTTCATGCTAGATTTCCTGTTTGGACCAAAAGCCACCATCTAATTCTAGATCACCAACCATCAGGCACTCTTCTGTAGCAAGAGACAATATGAAACAGTACTAAGCACCTGCAATGATTATAGAGGAGATGATAATATTGCACGAGCAGATTACTGAATGAATTCTTTTCATCTCGTGGTCATCTAATTTTCTATTGACCCCCATGATTAAATTTTTGGTTGCGCCACTAGGTGTTCATGATTTTTTACTACTCTTGCAACTTTACTCGTGCTTCTTTTTCAAATATAAGGTGCTTGCTATCGATTTATCTATAAGATTATAAATTAACTGTTGCTGGCTTCCATTTGACTTAAAGGTGCTGAAACATTCTTTGTTTCTTTTGACTTTCTTGCACAACCACATTATGTGCTCATTCTTTATCCATTTTTATTTGGTTTTACTCAAGATTGGCTCTTTGATAATCCTCAAAAAAGATCTCATGTTTAAACGTAAACAAGCTTCTACTCATAAACTAAACATATGCAGCTCTACACATGGGTGTTTCTAGGCATCACATCCCGGACTAGGGTTATAACTTATATCATCCAGTCCTTCGACAATCATCTGTTCTATTGAGTAATCCGAAATTTGTTCTCCGTCAAAATAAAATGATTAATCCCATATACATAAAGCTTCTACTTATCCTGGCGGTTGGACTTGGACTCTGAATTTAGGAGACCATTAAAACTAACTAAAACCTTGGCACCATATAATCACAATTTTAATGTTTTGTCGGTAATGATAACTAGCTGTTATGCTGGCAAGGTTATAGGGCATTTGTGGATTATGAATGAGACTGAGTTATACTGTGATATGTTGTGTCATATTTCTACTATATAGTGGTAGAATCCCTAGTGTGACTGTAATCACTGTATTGTTACAAGTTAAAGGGGCAACATCTGTTTCTATAGATAAAGTATATCACTATGTTTATTCCTTGCAAAGTTATTATGTTACAGTGAATTCAAGCTATGCATAACTGACCTTTCAGTTTGAACTAGCTGTTTAGTTCTTATGTTGGTATGGTTTCAATGCAGGCCTAGGGGAAATGATGCCCGCACAATTATGGGAAACAACAATGAATCCTGAGCAAAGGCTTCTGAAACGATTAGGGGTTGAGGATGCTGCTGAGGCCAACATTGTCTTTTCGTCCCTTATGGGTGCTCGGGTAAGTAGGGCAGACATAAAGGTTATTGTTGAGTTATGATTCACTGAAGCTGTCTGGTGCTTATATCTGAATTCTAAGGGCTGAACTCTCTCTCTCTCTCTCTCTCTCTCTCTCTCTCTCTCTCCGTCTCTGAAAAAACAACAAACAAAAAACCTGGCTGGCTTCCAAGGAGTACCTTTTGTTTTTCTAAATCAAAAGTGTCAATTGAGGGATCCCTCAAATAAGCTTATTTGAGGTGTATATATATATATATATGGGTCAGGATTGGGACACACAAAAAGCCACAAATTTATACACATTTTCAACCTTTAAAGCAGTTTTATTGGCTAAGATTGCCTTTGAAAAAAAACTCAATACCCTCAACTATGTGATTAATTTGCCTTGGAATAAGCCATTCTCTCCTCTCTCCTCACAAATTGCAACGAGAAACATTTGGTTTAATTTAATATGTTCTCAAAAGAAATTGATTTTTAAAAAACACTTGTTAGTATTTTCATTTGAGCTGGAGGAGGACGATGTGAACAGCCATGGATTTCTTTCTTCAAAGGATGAGTTTTCATACCCATTTCTTTTTTGACCTGCAAGAAAAAGTTAGCTAAATATAAATCATTTGAGAGCATCTTCTCAATCTACAGCTATTACCCAAATATACATAAAGTTTTACAGACTTTTCTTGTCAAGTTAAAATCTTGTTTCTGATCTGGATTTGGAAGATAAGGATAACTTCTTCAATTTAATTTCTTTTCTTTTCTTTTTAAAGTCAAAAAGAAACTTATATTACAAATTTAATTTTTTAGATATTGAAGTCTGTTGTTCTCTCCCATGTTGTCAGTTTTTATTTTTTATTATTATTTTTATATATATAGTAAAATCCTCCTCCTTCTCCTTCAATTTTTTCCCTGTAAAATATGTTCTTGTGCCATTCTGGAAATGATGACATGCACCCAAAACTGCAAACTTTCAATTTTCAACTTCCTCCTTAATAAGTTAATATCTCAGTAATCTATCAGACTATTAACAAATATATTTTGGATTTGTCTTAGTTCCGGCAAGATATATCTACAGTTTGATTATCTAAGGCATGACAATCCTCTCTGGTGTGTTGTGACAATCCTCTCTTCTAGGCATTACAATTCTCCTTTTCTGATAACTTTCATAACACAAAAGATAAGGCAATTCTTTTTTATTGGAAGTGCATATGCGGGTAGGTGAGACCACCATCTACCTCATTGTTTTTCCAGAATACAAGAAGGATTTTCGCAGAAAAAAAAATAAAGGAAGAAGGGTCTTGTTTTTGTCAGAGAAGAAGAAAGGTTAGGAAACACGGGAAGGAGGAAAGGGAGAGAAAAAAAAAGACTTACAAAGCTATTAAATATTGTCATTCCCGAAAAGGGAAGAATACAAGAGGTGTAATAGTGAAAAAGTTATATTAGCATTCATCTCCACCATTGAAAGCGGTAAGATCTAAAGGTCTTAAAAGCGTGTCAAAATTTGTGTTAAAAAATGTGTCTCCCGATCCTGACCCTATATATATAAAAGGATGGTATACATGATGGAACTGAATTGCCTTTGATTTTGTATAATCTTATATGTACCCGTTTTAAGGTTCTGGTTCCCAGCTTTCATAAAGAACGTATCATCGAGTAAAATGCCAGGATTGACATGAAATTGTGCTTGTTTATATTTTAGGTGGACTACCGGAAAGAACTCATAAAGAATTCTGCAAGCATGGTCAACCTCGATCAATTAGATATTTAAGGGAGCCACTAGTAATCCAGAGAAGACGAGTTGTGAAACTGTTACCAGTTTGCAGACAAGCGGAAACTCTTATCACAGTTATCAAACAAAGGGTTTTTTGTTGTATTTTTTTGATGCATGGACTTGCTCCCTTTTAGCGGGGCAGAGTTTAGGTAGGGTTTTAGAGGTTTTGTTATTTAGTGTAGAGAATGCTGTTTATTTTTATATATGATTTATATTATTTGCATTGGCATGGCCACCTGTTCAATTTCTCGAAATCTTATTATTTGTCCAAATGTTGCGAAATGCGAGTAAATGAGGCTCAAAAATATATTGAGATGGCAATGAAGATTTGAAGGCCAACAGATTGAGGATGTGGTAATTTATAGATAAATACGATATACTTTTTAGAGAACTTATGGTTTATTCATTTTCTACGTTTTTTTTTCATATTAATATTTTGCAAAGGTGCATGTATTATTTACGTATTTTAATTTACAAATTTATAAATAAACTCAATTCTAGACATGTATTTATAAAAAAACTCAAGCACTATTTAAACATAGAAACACACCCAAAATCAACCCCAAAGTCAACTTTTTGGGTGTGTTTATAAATGAGTTTTGAGTGTGTGTAATGATGGGTTTTGGGTGTGTTTATAAAGTGTTTTGGATGTTGGGTTTTTTTATAATTTCAACCTCCATTATTTAATGTGTTATACCCAAAGAAAAAAACATGAAGAAAAAAAAAACCAAATATTTCACTGCCTTATTTTTTGTTGCTTCAAAGAAAAAAAACCAACACTCCGTCCTTGGACCTTTAGTGGAGAGAATATGCTGCAAGGATTCGAATACGTTGGAAAGTAGTCTTAAAAACATGAACTCTTCCTCCTTTTGAAGAAACGAACACCACCAAAACACCAGGACTGCCCACAAAATCAAAACACTCTTACCTCAGCGGTGCCTAGAAGGCAATCCAGTAAAGCCCTTCACCCAATTTACCTCAATGTGAGTAGAAATCCCTTATTAGATTTTATTTTTATTTTTGTTTGAATTTGAGCATCTGAGTTCTGAACGCTTTGAAAAGGTTTTCAATGCATTAGAAAGGAGGTCTTGTTTGTGATTTTCTTTATTTCATCTTCTGTGACTGAAAATGATATGGTTCAGTTATGGGAGCTCCATTTTTGTGACTGAATGACTAAGATGAACCATCAAAATTGTGTTCTGATATAAAAGATTTCAGCCATTTCTTTTGTGGCAACAGCATTTCCATTTACAAAACATTTTCTCATTTATGTTTCGATTCGATTAACATAATCAAAAGGTTATAAGAAAAGAAATAAACATGCCTGTGGAGAATGTGATGCATAGAATTAAAAAGTGCCTTGGGAAATGAAACCTCTTTGAGGACTGCTTTCTTAAAGAACCTTCAAATCTATAAGATTTTTCAAAAAAGTCTCTCCAACAATGGAGCCAGTCTTAACAAATACAGCAGGACAGCCAATTGGAGCTTCTACTGTGGCTTCAACACCCTGCTTTCTGAAATGTTTTCCAGTCCATATATGTTGCCAAGTACAACTTTCTCCTGTTGGAAAATAGGCCTTGACGTTATTTTTGCCCTTGTCTAGGACGGGCACCACTAGAATCTCAGTACCGACCAAAAACTGGTGGTAGCTCAAACTGTGCACATGTTCATCATCTGGGTAATGCAGAAATAGGTGGCGGCATACAGGAATACCTTTTTGAGCGGCTTCCTGCAATGCAGGGAGTGAAGTTTGTCAGATTTTCCGGTGAAGTTACTAGATGCTATATACAATTAGTATACAAGAATTATGGAATTACCTGAACAAGCTGGACTCTGTAGAATTTCCAAGCTTTATAGATTTTAGCAAAGCGTGCAAAATGGGATAGAGTCCGGTCATTGGAGTAGAATTGGCTGTTGCAAGATGGTTTGTTTCCCTGGTTGCAGAAGATATTTAAATCAGTAGCTGATAAGATCATACATGTTATTGCATTTAAGTGGAGCAATTAAAATGTTCTGACAAAAAATTCATGAAAAGCATTAGTAGTTATAGCTGTCAAACCTTGCTTCTTTCTTGGCAATATATCTACTATCTCTAATTGTTTTTACATTGTAAGTGTGTGCTGAGTATTCGGCAGCTCATGCAAATTAACTGATCTATATACCAACCTTATTTATTCTCTAATGAAAGCTTAATCATGTTAGAGTTATTAGCTTCATCTAATATCAGTCATGACAATGATACATTCAGTAAAAGGTTTGATCCAGGATGTAGCCAGATTGTAGTTTGTTTTTCTTGATTTTACATAGTAATGGTGATGAGTAATGACAATAATGATGCTTTTGTATTTCAGGTGTCAGACATTGAACTTACTTCATGTGTCCGGAAAACAGTTGTGAACGCATTTATCTCCATCCATCGAAAAAGCAACTCTTCACTTCTTCGGTAATTAATAAACGGTAAGTTTACAGCACAGTACCCTCCAATATCACTGTGATTAAAAGCAAACCCAGAAATTCCACTGCTGAGTAGACCAACAACAGCACTCTTTATTCCATCATGAGTCTGCCAACTTACCATTTGGTCTCCTTCCCAAAATAGCATCCCCCATTTGGGACTATTTCTGAAACCAGCCCTCATAAAAAATACCAAGGCCTCCTCTGGGTCTTCTTCCTCCTTACCCACGCGGTTAGCTTTCCATTCGTCTACAAACTCTCTGTTTATTTGAGCCCACAGCTCTGGGTATTTGTTGTGGGCTGAAATAGGATCTTCACCTGAAACGGTGAGTCATAATCATTAGAATACCCTAAATAGCTTTTGGAAATATTAAGTGCAAAACAAAACACTATTAGCTTTGATTGCTATGTCATTCTGAAAGAACATCTTGACAGTTTGATAGGACTGAATGAAACTTTCAGAACGTAGGGGAGAGTGAATTGACAAAATACTGTTTTTCTTTGAGCTGAAAAGGGAAAAGTGAACTGACCAGTTGCAAGATGATTGAACCCTTATTAGAAGCTCTGACAGAAAACATACCCATTCCTAATGCTTCAATTCTATGAAAGAGGCTTAACTAATAGTTTAGTAGTTAGTATGACTGTATTAAAGACACAAGGAAATAACCCCTCGAGAAAATTTGTTACAAAAAATGTCAAGCCCGACTGATCGAAAAATATAAATAAATACTAATTCACTCCAGAGTCTCTAGTTTGCTCATTCTTTTTGCTCTTGGCATCAGAACCCAGCATGATCAAAGTGATTGCCACCTTAAGTGGACTGTTTTGAAGAATCAAGTTGAGATATTGAACCTGAATAGAGGGTGGCATCCACAGGCAGGCCTTCACCAAAATCAGCCATCCATCCTCTGACTCCATCATCCACCATTTCCTGAAGAATCTGCTTGAACCAACTTGCAGTATCTGGATGTGTCAAGTCCAACATTCCTACATCAAAAGCTGTATTTGGAACCATGTATGGCTCTCCAAGCTTGTCTTTCACTAAAATGTCCAACTTCTTTGCTTCCTCAAAGAGGTTTCTTCTTCTATTTGGCTTCTCATGACACTGTGAAATCAAGTAAAAGCTTTCAAACAAAATTACAGTTTTTATTCCTATCAGCTCAGATTTGGCTGCAGGAGAGACATTGCAATCATTTCACTTAAGAAGGAAAAGAGCAAGATCAGAAGAGTATGTTTGCTCTTAGGATAAATGATGGTATAAACCTTCTTACAGTGATGTAACATACTAATTGTTAAGAGGTGAGTAATTGCGAGAATTGTACTAGAAGAGTTCATTGAGAAGCATCATTGAGGGAGACGATATTTACCGGAGCTAGACATGGGTTGCAGTACGTCATCACTTTGATATGCTGGACACTAAGATCTTTAATTAGTTGTTGCCATCCTGTATACCTTATTGAATCTACTTCCCAATTCCACCACAGTTGTGAACCAACCAATGTCTCTCTCTGGCCTACCCAATCCTGTGCAACAATTATTACAGGGTTAAAATGTATACGCAAATATCTGCAACTTCCAACTACAGTAATTCTAAACTTTTCCAAAATGTACCTCCTTTGGAAGCAAACTATAATTTAAATGCATATAATTTGAAATGTCTCAGTAATTGATATGGATATTTAGATTTGCAATACAGAACCATTGCAAGTCTTGAGCAAATAATTGATGTTGAGCAAAAGAGATGAAAAAAAACTATGGTTTTGTATGTTCTGGATATCTTGTTTATGTGCATGTTTGTATGCCCGCATATATTTAAACGTATTTATATTATTTTTGGTGCAGGGACGTGCATTACCTGCAACCAAAATGCTGAAATAGGAGCATTGTAAGTCTTGAGCTCATTCCAAATATGGCGTACAGATTCTGTGCCACCCTGCATGCCAACAACAGCTCCAGAAATAATCCAGTCAGGAAGTTTAGGAGGTCTCCCAATGGTCTCAGTGAAACACTCAATGAGCTCAGATGGTGAAGTTCCATGCAATATCCGCCCTTCAACTGAATTTCCATGTATCTGCAAGCTCCAGTATACAGAAAATGGGAAACTGCAAGTTTAAGATCTTGAATGAGACCAGTTTTGTTTTTTACTTCAAAAGAATCATGGATCTTTTTCTCTAGCTCTTAGATTTTTATTTATTTTAGAAACTCTTGTATTTACTCCTCTGACATCATCTGTAAATGCTAATCCTTCCCTTGTTCTTGCTAATGACTGTTGGCCTCAAATTTTGAAATCAACTTTGAATTTATTTTGTTTGGATCAATTCCAAATTTAAAATGGCATTATGACAGCAAGATGCAAAAGTTATGCAACAATACCTGTATCTGAACTCTATCTTGCTTTGTTAGATCAAATATGGAATAATCATATCCTTCGAGGTAAAGAGACCTCATCTTTGAAGTCATATAGAATGGAGAAGGAGCGTAGGTCGTACTCCAATCGCCCCCAGCCCTGCAATGGCGATGAAATGTATTGAAATCAAAACCTGTCTAAGTCTGAAATGTATTGAAATAAAAAACTGTCTAGTCATTATCTAATTAGAATCAGATGGTTGAATAGCTGAGCTAGCCTTCTGTTTACCTGTAGCTGATCAAGTTAGCCGCAAAGGTAATAGGTTGATCCCCTCTCCCAATACCTTGTTCCTGAACCAATATGGGTACCCTTTTTCCTTTAAAATCCATGTGAGAGAATTGCTCCCCAAAACCATAAAATCTCTCATTTTCTTCACTTGAATATGTCAAGCAAACCCTGTTGAATTCTTTGAATTCTTCAGCCTTCAGTTCCTCTAACTCTTCCTCTGATGAGGAAACAAACGCAAACCCTCTTGGCCTTGCAGAGGACCAAAACCACCTAAGCCTGCGTTTCTGGAACTGTCCCAGCCTTCTCCTAAAACCCTTGTATCTTCCTGAAGCAGCTGGAGAAGCTTTTGTGCGGAATTCAAAGTTGGGTTGCCCAAGCTTCACTTGGAATCCAATTTGATTATTGTTTTTCTGCTCAAACAAAACCCAATACCTTGCACAAGTAGAAGGTCCCTTTCCCTCAAATTGTGCATTTTCAAGAGTTCCATATTTCTGAGAATGCTTCTTCTTCCTTCTCATGTTGAAAACCCAGCCAGTTACAAGCACCATAGGGAATTGGGTACCTTTAGAATCTGTTTTCTGGTCCAAATCCAAAAACCCAGATGGAGAATCTTGATCTTGAGCCTCTAGAGAGTGATCAAACTGATCGATCACCCTTATATCCTGAATGGTTTGGTGATGGCAAACCAAATGAAGCTTTCTGTCCTTCACAACAAAGGAACCCCTGCTTTCCTCCACCTCTGTTTCTGCCAATGCTGCGGAAACAAAAGCTTGTCCTGGAATGGTGGACCAAATGGCTCTTTTGGGCTGCGATTGGTGATAAATTGAGAGAGACCCACCATTGTTGGAGCTCCAAGAGAGCTGAAAATCAGTGCCAATTGAGAAATGCTGGTGTGAAGGGACTGTTTGGGAATTGAACAAGAGGTTCCCTTGGATGAGAGGGAGAGATGCAGGTGTGGAAGGAAAAGGATTGTTGAAATGTTTGTGGTGTTTTTTGGTGATTTTGAGGGTTGTCATTTGGGATTAAAGAAATCAAGAAAGAGGTGATGGTGCATGCAAATGCAATCTTAAATTCCTATGTATATTTTGTTAACTTACTGGTATAGAATGCAAAATGGAAATTTTTCCATGAGCTAGTTTTTTTGGAGGTGATCATTCATAGATGCACAAACGAAAGAAAAGACCTCTACTTTAACGTTTGCAGACAGTTTTAGTCGAGGATGAGAATTGAGAAGGGTAGCCATTGACTTGTACAAGTTTTGATTTCATGGACATGCCAACAAAAAATGTGTCCAAACTGACCAAACTACAACATGTCCAAATTGAATTTCCCGTCTTGCTCCCACTTGATGAGGAAGGTAGTGTCTGCTTCCTTCCCCGTCTTTTCTAACTGTGTTCGTCTGTTATTATAATTTTACTTCCGTACAATCTGGGGTGATTTGTTCGAATTTTCTTTCTCCCAATATCGTTTGTATAAAAACATAACAGACGTCTTATTAAAAAAAAATGTTGTTTTCTTGCTTTCTCTAGTATTTTTATTAGGTCCCAACTTTCATGGGATGAACCTTTTTTTCCACCCCATTTAGTCGGTACTACCCTGTTATTTAATTAAAGTTTTGCTTAATAATGAATATTTGATCAATGATACATGAATGGTAATTTAGTTTAGGCCTTCTAATTTAAAGACGATATCCCCAAAGAAGTGAAATTCATGATATTGTTTTAGGACTAAGCGGGTAAGAATTTGATTCTCGTTCTTTATTTTTATGCATAAAAAGTTAACAGAAGGAAGTCATAATTTTTTATTTTCACCAAGTGAAATTGATGATGTTTGTGTTTCTTTTCAATTGCCTAAACAAATAATTAAAGTCAACAATATCCAAATGAAACGTGCAACTTGCATTTACAAAGTTTTGCTCTTTCGTGTAGCATGATTCTCTTTTGCGTGAAGCTTGAAATCACAAGAGCTTGCATTTTCCAAATGAAATGAATCTCAACTCCGTCGAATAGTATTTGTGCATCACAGTGCATGCGGTCCTATTTATGCATCTACGTTCCTTTGAATGAACCTGGACGCAAAAACAAGCACCATTCATTCATACACGCCCATGCACAGTGCAATTTTGGTTTAACATTTTTTGTTTTCTTTGAAGAAAAATCTGTTTCGTGTTTGCAGATTGCTCATTCTACCTTGTCCCTCTTAACTTCTGTCATTGAAAATGCATGTGGTCATGTTCCAGGGAAATATACATGTATTGAAATGCATGTGCACGTGCGATGAATGCTTGGCTAGCCGTCACTTTTTTATTTTAATTTTTCTTAAAAAGAAAAGTACAACTATATGTTTGAGAGTGCTTTTCAAAGGGTTAAAAAGAGTATTTGATAGTAAACTTTAAAAGTGCTTCTGAGTGAGCACACTTTTTGGAAAAACACTTAAATTTCTTATGAAAATTTCAACGTTATTATAATAAAATAAATTTTTTATTTTCTAAAAGCATTTATGAGCAAAAATACTTCCTGAAAAAACAGTTCGAAACGAGCTTCGTTTGTAGTCTCCGCCTAATGAAGTGCAATGCAAACCTACATGCTTCCTCACCTTAATAGAATATAATATTCCAATAATTGTAAACTTCATACTTAACCCTCCATTTCATTCGGACTAGAAGTGTGATCTCTGAGTATATCCTAAAATTGGCTCTAATTAATTATTTATCTTTTCCCTTCAAGCTCTTGACCCAACAATAATAATTAATTAACTAGAAAACACTCCACTAAAGAATTTAAGCTACATTTCCCAGAAGTTAGAAGATTTTGTACAACGCCCAGCAAGACTCAGTAACGAAAACCTCACCCCTGGCATTATATACGCGAACTATATTGGGAATGAACTAACAATTGTTGCCTAATTGATGTCAAGCACATGATTATGAGATTCACATTAATATGTTTTTATGGAAGACCCCTTTAAATGTATCACGGGAAATTGTAGAGAGAAACGAGGAGTAGAGGAAGACAGTAGAAATTAGTCTCTAAAACTTGTCATCTTTTGCTTTGCTAATCACCTATTTATAGGCTTACAATGATAAGAAGCTAACCCATAAATTATGAGTTAAAGGCTACTAATTACAATACTAATAACATAGGAGGTAATTGATGTAATGGTGATCATCCACATTTCATGTATTTATAACATATCACATATTTTATTGCATTTGGAATTGTTCATCAAGGCCAAAGACTTTGAAAGAGTTGGGTTTCCAAAAGATGTAATTTGCTGAAGGTATAGGTAAAGTAGAACAGTTGTGAGGAGGTTCAGGTCGGGTAGATATTTGGTTCTACTATTGCACCTCAAGGTAAATGCTTTTTAGCCCCTTAAGATACAAGCGCCTGCATTTCGATTTTCTTCTATACAGAAAAATTGTAAAAAATTCAACCATGCACAAAGCTGCAGTTGATGAGTAAACAGTCGAGTTATGCATTCAAATCAAGAATGACTTGAAGGGATCTAAAGAATTGTACTTTAGAATCAAAGTCGCACATTCATGCCCTGCAACCCTGCAAATCTCACAGCAGCAAGATGGTCAAACTCAAGCTCAACATCGCTAAATAGCCACAAGGTTTTGCCTTACATTAAAATGATCCTCCAACATGGAAAAACTAGTTTCCGAATATAAGATTGAAATAGATGGAAAAGACAATTTATATGCTGAACCTACAAATTTACTGGCAGATAGTTGCTCACAGATCAAGGATTCAAGGTAGACATCTATGGTAAACTACTGGATACCAAGAGAAGCCATCAAATTCCTCAATCAAGCAAATCAGACACCGCTGTCTTCTTAAATGGATCAACTTGTGCCAGCTGTGCCAGTAAAGATTTGTTGGGAAATATATTATCTGCCTTCATCCTCTCCCAGATTCCATAAGGTGAAGTTTTGGCATTTATATAGGCCTGAATTAGAGATTGGAACTGACGAAATCGAGCCGTATAACCAGCCTGTCTCATCCTATAAAATATCTTTTCTGCGTTATGGGTGTCACCTTTCTTTGAATATTGCTCCATAATGGTCATGTAAGAATTGAACAGTGGCTTCTTCCGGTTCGTCTGGGCAGCCTTCTGCAACATAGAGTCAGCCTTTTCAAGCTCACCTGCTTCCACATAGAGTTTCACAAGTGCATCCCAAATTAACGGGCCGATGTCACAATTGCTATCTGCCATACGCTTAACAAGATCTTTACCCTTGGTGAGCTGCTTTCCATTTGCATAGACCTTCAAAAGCACATAATAATGCCTTGAAGAAAGTTTCTTAAATGTATTTGACATCTTCTCAAAAACTGCCTCTGCTTCTTCAATTTTATTCAACCTTCCCCAAGCTTTAACTGCAGCCATGCACTCTTGAAGCCGAGGATTTGACTCACAGAACTTCCAAACTCTCTCCACTTCATCAACCTGTCCCAACTCAGCATAAAGAGGAAGCAAAGCTTGACAAGCCGAACGGTTCTCTTTTAAGTTTCCGCCTTCCATATCTTTCAAAACTGCCTCAGCTTTTTCTTTAAGCCCGCCAGCAGCATAGTGCTTAGCCAAGATGGCTTTTACAGTGACGTCTGGCTCAATGCCTTCAGCCTTCATTGTCTCATAAACTTGATCCATTCCAGTCATGTCATTGGACTGGCCTTTGGTATCTATCAAGAGTTTATAAGTAAAGGCCGTCGGCTTGACATTTTCTTTCTCCATTAACAGTAATACATCTGCCATTTTCTTCTTGTCAAGCCTCTTGTAGAGGAGTAGCAACTGGTTGCAAGTAAATGGTGTGACTGGGAATTCCAGGTCCTTCATTTTGTTGAAAATTTCTTCAGATTTCTTCAAATTGTGGGTAGAGACAGCGTATGCCAACAGGGTTCGGTAAATTACCTCACCTCTAAAGGATGCTGGGATTGTCTCAACGTATTTCTCTGCCTTATAGAGGCCACGTACTTTGGCAATTAAGTCAACGCGAGATGCATAATCTCTTTCAACAAATTCAATCTGCTTATGTTCCTCCAACCACTCTGAAAGCTGCAAAGTTGACAAAGCATCACACAATATCAAAGTTCTGTGACCACGAATTCATGCTTTTAAGGAACTAGGAAGCAAACACAAGAAAAGAAGATGCACTTGTGGTCCAAGAATATATACTACCATTCTCATTATATATCTATTGACAAAACAAAACTGAACAGGAAGTACAACTATGACAAATTTGTTCTGGTTTAAATCAAACTATAAGATAAACAATGGGAGCATAAGTGGCCAAATGAGAATGCCATAGTCATTTCAACATAAACCACAGAATTTCATCAAAAGTATCTGACAATTCATGACTTCAATGCCTATTTTTCTTTATCTGCCATAAAAAATCAAGAAAAAGGACTCAAAGCGATAAAATTAATGATGTCACCATTTAATTTATCAAAGCGATAAACAGAAAGTCTATTAACATAATCAGTACTTATAAGTTATATGCCATTGCATTTCGCAACCCAATTCACTTTCTCTCGTTGCAGGGGGTAATCATACATTTTCCTTTATAGAAACGAATGAAATACTCAATAGTCAGTACTAGAACTAGAAAGCACAAACCACATTCAACATTTGAAACCCTCTTTGTAAAGCAAATTACAAGCGCTAAAAATTACTGTAAACCGATGGTAGACAATAATTGTTAAACCATAATGTCTTGAACATAATAACTAGTCCTCAAGACTGTATGATAATGATATAGTAAAAGGAAAATAAAGAGAAACATGTGAGAAGCAAAGACTTTCACCAGACTCTGAAACAATAATGGATTTAATGGGACTATGAAATTAGAATTTAGACAATGGTAGAAAATATATTAATCATTATAGGTGACATATCTTAAGAAAAAGAAAGAGATCTTTGAATAAAGGACATGCTCAAACCAAACAGGAAAAGGGCATTAAGTCAAACTTTAAAAGTAAAGGTTCATAAAAAGTTCTCACTTTGAGGATGGATGATTCTAATAGTAATAGAAAACCCAGCCATGCCACGTTACCTTCTGGTTACAAGTCCTCTACACATTCATTTTTGGGTCTGAATCCTCTTTACATACAAAAGGGCTGAACTTAAGATTATTTTCTAATAATAGATAGATTAAAAGTAACATTTCTGTTAACTTTCCAAACATAAAGATCAAGAAATCGAAGTCTTGCGAAGATATAATGATTTATGATTATGATAACTCATCTGTTAGACACAAAAACTTAATCTGTAAATAGACATGTTCGAGACAAAAACCATACAGTCCATTGTCTGTTTTACTTAAAAAACAAAGAAAATCCTAGTAAGCAAGAACTAAGTACACCTGATGCAGTAGCTACAGCTTGGTTAGAAAAGCATCCTCTTTGGAAGCCTAAGAATAAGCCCATTCGGCCAACTCAAAAATTAAAACATTTGAGTCGAGAGGGAAATATCCATGGTAGTGCAAGAATCAGGAAAATAATGAAATTAATAACTGAGTCAAGAGTCTATTTATTTGGGTCTTATGAAAACACAATGTCTTTAAGTTTTCTAGGATTCTCCTATGATTTTAATATTTCAATGAATCATTTGCTATTTGTCGAGGTCATTGAACGTTCTATTTGAAGCCTAAAAATACGGCTATCTGTTGTGAGCAGATCAGACTGGAATGAATGAAAATTAAAGGCTTGTGGAAGGCTTGGTGCTTTGTGTGTCTTTTATCTTCTTCTCTCTCTTCTTTCTAAATTCTTCTTGATAACTCTGCCCTCTCTAAAATAACTGCAATCTCAACCTTCTTTGTTCTCTAAATATTTTATTTCTCCAAATTTCTATCATTCTAAACCCACACCATACTCAAACACTTACCCTTGTACTGTCCTGCATCAAGACCTGTTCAATATTTACAAACATACAGAACTAAGACTAAAGATTTGCATTATTATCTGAGATGTATAAGTTTTTTGGTGGAAACAATATGTGCATGGTGGGAGGGAGACATGCTGTCATGGGAATCTTTTATGTTGGTGTGAATGGAGAGGAGTTGAAGAATTTTTTAGTGACCAGGGGATGAGGAGGTGGACCTTCCATGGGATAAAGTTAGTTTTCGGATTTCCCTTGTTGTACCTTTAAAAGCTATAATTCTATGATTGGATTTCTGCTGCACACTACTTTTTGTTGGTCTTTTGCAATGTAAGGTTGGTTAGCTAGGTTTTGCAGTCTTTGCTAAATTGTTTAGCCCGCACCTTCTACTAGAACATTGTACAACTTGTCCTCTGTATTATTCTATTATTTTACAATGAAATTCTGTTCCTAATAACTTGTCCTCTGTATTATTCTATTATTTTACACTGAAATTATGTTCCTAATAGAAAAGAAAAACCAGAGTCTAAAGACAATATATTATGTACCAACAAGTGGAACATAACATTTTGGACAACAGAAAAAGACCAACCCCTAGCTATACAAAACATTTTTGGATATTTGAGTTTGATGCAACTGCTATATTTAACAAATTCACACACAATGCTGCAGGAAAGCTCACAAAGCAGCAGCTATGTTCAGATATGTCTCTTCTGTGATAATCAGCTATGTTGTGATATCTGTATAGTATAATATATACACTAAAATCCAAAAGGATTTTGACAGAACAAATTATTGCAGCTAAGACCAAAGAAAAACCATTGATATTATTGTCTAATTATCAACATCTTTACGTATATATAGAAATAAAGTCAAATCACCTGTAATGCCCTCCCAAACATTTGACGCTTGCGAAAATGGAACATGGCCAGCGATATCTCTGCCCTATTTAGATCATTTCCTGCTTTAACCCACTTATCAAGAGCTCCATGAACAGAGAACCCCGGGAAAGCTAAAATGGCCTTGAACAGTTCTGAAACATTCCTTTTCCTTGGTGATCTTTTCTCAATTGAATCAGCCCCATTCTCTGACAACTCCAACTCATGTTGAGAAGGCTCAACTTCTTCTTCATCTTCAGAGAGTTCTGGTTCAGAAATTAATTCATCTTCATGTTGGGAAGCCTCAGCACTAGGTAGTGTTTCTAGTTCAGAAAACCCATCTTCCAAGTCATCTTTCTCTCCACTGCTTTCTGCACCAGCTTGTGAAGAAAAGCTGCGTCTATCCACTGAGAAGTTCCAAGAAACTTGTGTTGTGTAGTATAATCTCTTGGATGACAAGCATCCATCAGGCATTGATTTACAGGACTCATGGAAACAAGCATCCTCTTGTCCGTAGGTGATTGGTAGCTCCAAATTAGCACAACATGCACGAGAACTTCTTATGTTAAATGCTTGGCTCCTGGACGTAAAAGGAAAACTAAGTATCACATTATATCACAAAACAAAATAATAGGCAACATAACGTAACCAAAAAATAAAGAATTTTACTAGCACACAGCCTGCAAAAAAGCAAAATGAAATAAATAAAAATAGCAGGACATATATACTAAAAATGATATACATTATAAGATTCATACGATGGTAATGGGAGTCAAGCTTCTACTAGTACAATCATATTATGAATTCCTGTGAGGCCAAAGAAAGATAACATTGTATCTTTAAGAAATATTACAGAAACAATGGTAACTTCTCTAGTTGTTATTCTCTATATTAAGATATCCAGAGAGATACAACGTCAGAAATTATGTTGCCATATCTCATAATCTGTAAGGCAATTTCTAATAGGGTAGGTAAAAAAGAAACTAACTTACCCAGTCTCCTTCACTCCATGAATTCCATTCTTTTTCCTCTGCTTTTGTATTTGCTTTTAGAAAGGTAGCATGTAGAAAACATTTATTTTTAATATCCTTCAGAATATTCTCTCTTTCATTTCCGATGGGGTTAATTAATTGCATATACAAGATAAACTAACACTAGTAAACAAAATTCAAAAATAAATAAAATAAAATAAAAACACAGACGCCCATAATCCACGCACTTAAGTAGGAAGCCCCTAAAACCTCTGAAACCCATAATTTAAATTCCGTCCCTAAAACCTTTAAAACTACTACGATGAACACAGGAACCCTAGAACGAAAGAGTTACATATATACCTGAGAGGAAGAGAAGCACGACGAAGAGCCCACATGGCGACAGTAAGCAAATCAGAAACCCCTAGCAGGGAAAATGGAAATGGCGGTGCGATTTAAAGAAAAAACGTAACCTCAGCTCAGAACCGGACCCTCTCTCTCTCTCTCTCTTTTAAACCCTAAACCCTGTTTGGTGGGCTGGCTTGGACTGTATAGCGAGCTTCCATATTAGTAAACTAGTAAAACTATATACTGAAGCTCCGCAGAAATTAACCCTTACCCATTTTGGCTTTGGGTAAAAAAAAAATTGCATAAAAACCCTATGGGCAGGAGAGAACCAAATACAGAGCCCAAATATGAGAAGGCCGAACAATGAATGAAAACAAAGGTTAGCCCAAACGGATAAGGCCCAAACCAGACAGAAAAGAACCACTCCATAAGCTAAAGACGAAAGAACTGTTCTTCCCTGACGCACTAGAAGGAACTCTTCTGCTGTTCCTTCACGCACAAACGTCGATTCAAACAGACGAATCTGAGAGCACGATTATTTTGACGCACAGCAAAGCATTGGTGAGTCCTCTTCTTCTGTCTTCTATTTCTTCGTCTTTCTTCTCCTCAATCAAAAGCTTTGAGAAAGAAAACCCTAGCCCCCTTTTCTATTTTGTCGAACCAGGAAGGAGATAGAGGGTTGAGGTTAGGGTTAGGGTTTTGGGTATGTGTTTGGGCCCTATAAATTGCCTTAACGTGAGCTGAGTTTTAATAGTTTCATTTTCCATGCTAACCTAATGAAATTGGTGCTGTCAGGTGGTAGCTCTCATGGATTTAAACTTAGACTCTCCACCCGCTGCAGACGGTGGTGATGCAAAAACAGCATTTCGCAAGCCTGCAACTGATGCAGCCAACAGGAAGTATCGGCGCCGTTCTCCAGTTGGCGGTTCATCTCCCTCTGATGGTCAGTTTTCCAAATTTTTTTGTTTCCATTTTCACAAGTTAAAATGGTGCTGAGGATTATCGAAAGGCTTTTTTTTATAGTGAATTTGGCAATTTGACTTAGCACTTAATGTATAAGTGGTGGTGCTGATTCTACTTACTGCTCTGCATATTGTAATTTGATGCTTGAAGTTAGTAGAAGGACGGTTGTATCAATTGATTTCTTTCTTTCAAGTTTTCATTTTTATCAAAATGTATGCACAGTCGGGTAATCTAGTGGCTCAGAGGTGGAATGATATGGGGGTTTTTTTTGTTTTTATCATTTTCGAGTCAAAATGTGGGTCATTGTAACAAGTCTTTGATGTCGTGCAAAAAAAAAAGGTTTCCATTAACATTAATTTTTTTTTTTCCAGAGTGTCCTATGCATGAGCATAACTGTAGCCCAAAAAATTCAAGGGAACACCCTGGAAAAGTCTCTGAATATCAAACAAGAAGGAGAGATGATGGGAGGGAATTAGAGAGGGATTCAAACAGGAGGTATTATGGAAGAAGCAGTGATTCCTACCGGCATTCTGATAGACAATCCTCCAGATGTTCGCATGGGTACTATAAGCACGATGACTGCATCAAACATGACAAACACGCTGATGAAGAGGATAAAAATTATCAGAAGTTATCTTCTCGTTCTGGTAGGGAGTCAAGGGGTAGTGCTTATTATGATCATATTAAGTCAAGAGAATATTCAAGAAATTTGGACAAATATTCTCGTGATAAATATGATGGTTCTGGATATAGGAACAAAGATAAAGATAGAGAATCTTCATTTCCTGAGAACCAGAAATATAAAGTTAAGGACTCATCGTCTCAGAGAGTTGGATCTGGCAGGAGACATGGACATTTTGAAGAGATGGAAAGGGAACGAGACAGGCATGCATTGGACAGAGATGTTCAGGATGAGAAAAAGGATTACCGTAGGAATTCAGGTGATTATATAAGTGAACAGATTTTCTCATATGAAGAGTCCAAGGGGCAACGAAGTGACTCAATTTCCAGGAGAGATGAAGGTAAACATCGCATGAAAGAAGGTTACAAGAGTGAATTAAAGGAATTGGATGATGACAACGTTTCCAAAGAGCAAAGGAAGAAATATGATGATAAGGAAACTAGTTGGGGCAACAGAATTACTAGAGAAACATCAGAGTGGTCTGCAGATAAACATTATATAAAGAGCGAAAATCAAGAATCTACTGCAAAAAGACCAAAGTTATTTAGCTCAGAGAAGGGCATTGATGGTCGAAAAGATGGTAATGCTTTATCTATGTTTCTGTATTTGAATTTAATCCTTAAAAGTGCTAGTCTAAGTCTGTTCTCCAATATGTTACTCTTTGTTTAGTTTCAAAGTTCACAACTACAGCGGATGGAAGGGAGTCTTCAAGTTCCAAGCAAGTTCAAGAAGATGAAATGACTACTGAAAAAACTCAGGCCAATGATGCGGAGGCTGCTAATGATATAAATGCTGCCAAAGTTGCTGCGTTGAAAGCTGCTGAATTGGGTATGTGGTACCTTTTTTAAATATTGCATCCACAGGACAACTTTTGGCATGAAACCGAATATTGACAATATACTATATGATTGTTATACATACCCATTCCAAAATATATTATATTGACACATACACACAACAGCGCAGTTATGTTAAGTAGTTGAAGGAGCTAACATAAGTAATTAATCTTAGGTTGTGAGATCTTCTTGTACTAGGATCAATGACTGAAAGTGAAAGTGTTTAATCTCGAAGATTATATACTTATTTTTCTTGTTTTTTGAATTCATTACTAGCACCTGGGTATGTGCACGGTAGATTTTTAGTGAGGACCTAAGTTGAGGTCATGAATCTCAGAAGTTTGTTTAGATATGAACTGTTGAGATGTATCTCATCAATGCATCGATTTGACAATTGAGATGGAATTCCTCAAATGTATTATGTCATTAGGGTACTATGTTATGTCCCCTTGGCCCAAGAACAAGGTGGTGTGTCTCTTTTTAAAGAAAGAAAAATGTGTGGATGTATGTATGTATTGTTTAATATCATAATATGATTCGTGTCATTTTACATCTCTTGGCCCAAGCCTAATGTATTTGGTCTCTTGCTGAAGGAAAAGTAATAGATGCTAGATGAAAGGGGCTTTGGGGGTAGTTATCTTTTCTAGATTTGCTGGTCTAAGAGAAAGATAGAGTTGTTTGTTAGGCAAACACAAAGTTTAAAAAAACTGCTAGAGGTACGACTTCAACAAAGACCCAAGTAAAAAAAGTAAATGTATCCAAAGTGCTACACGGAAACAAACTTATCAGAATTTACTTAAAGAGATAAGAGAGAAACCAAAGCTGCACAACTAATAATTATGCCCATAAAAATGTCTCTCTGTTAAAGTAACCTTGTCACCAAGGCAAGTTCTGGAAATCCACCTCAGGTTTAATGAACATTCTTCGTAGTGTTTTCTAGTTACTTGGTGCACTAAGGCCTCTGTTATATTTTGTCTGTCTTTGCATCTCTGGGCCCTGTTTAATTTAACCAGGCTTGACCTCTAGGTCCTTCTTAACAAACTTTGGGAAGGGAATCCAATTTCTCTTTAAGGCGATAGACATGAAAGACAGTCTTTAGTATGGTTGAAGCAGGAATCTTTAGTTTGTAAGCCAGTGCTCTAATTCTTTCTAAAATCTGAAAAGGGCTATAACCTCAAGGTGAAAGCGTAAAAGCATTGGCTATGTGGCTGTAGGCAGAAATAGACCTAATCTCCTACCAGAAAAACACGATCTCACCGCTTCTTATCTGCAAAATTTCATGTGCCTTTGAGCTTCATGTAATTGTGACACAACTACTTTAAAATGGAATCAATTCCTTAGTTCTTGTCAACCTGTGGTATAGAGCTTGACCCAGTAACACAGTAACTAAGCTTTGGTGGTTTGTGCCCATAAACTACTTCTAAAGGAGAGAAGCTAGTGCAAGAATTAACATTAAAGTTATTCCAGTAAACTGCCATAGTAAGATAGTTGAGCCAGTCATTGGGAAACAACAAGCTTAGTCACCAAGCATTTTGTTTACAACTGCAGTTTGGCCATAGAGTAAGATAGTTGCTAAGGTGGATCTGAAATGGAGACTTGTTCCTTGGAGTTTCAATAGTTGCTGCTAGAAGTTATTGGGGTGAGTTATCTATCTCAATGACTCGCAATCATCTTGGGTATTCCTTGAAATTTGGAAAGAATATCAAAGAAAGCTTGTGCAAGTGCAACACAGGGAGCTCTTTTAAGGATGAGATAAAGCCATGAAATGTGCATCTTTAGAAAACCTATCTAAAAACAGACTTCATGGCTTTATTGCTTGGTGAGACTCCATCTCACCCTTACCAGCTGCACACTTCATAGCTTTATCTCACCCATATGTCTCTTAGTCATAGCTTCGTAAGATTTTAACTTGGCATTTACATCTGGATGACGAAGGGAATGGTTGAGTTCTTCCATCCTTGTCCGTATGATTTGAGAAACAGAATGTAAGGTTATGTGCTTGGACACTGCATCTGCTGCTGGTCCAGTGATCCCTGTGAATCTATGCAGTCCCACCCCAAAAGTTTGGAGAGTCACTGCTGTGAAGGTGATGGAGGAATAAGTGGAAACAGCCTTTAAAACTTTACCTCAAACATGGAAAGGAGAGCTCTAAGGGCCAAGATCTAATTTGCATCTGTTGTATGATGTTGGGCCTACTTGGGATCTTTGCATGGTTATAATCAAGACCACCCTATCCCACTGATTACTACTAGATTTTGTTTCTTTGCTGGTTCTCTGTTGTTTCTTTAGGTAGTTGGTGCTGTTTTAGAATTCTCTAGTTGTTTGTTCCTGTGGACATCTTGTCCATTGTTTTGTACTTCTCTTTTTTTACAGAACTTTTGTTTCATCTATGTGTGTGTGTGTGTGTGTGTATATATATATATCTAGGATTGATAAATTGGGTAGATTTTTGGTATTTAATATGGCTTGATTGTATGATTGGGAGTCATGAATGACGTACCGCATTCAGTCTAGGAGATATATATAGGTGTGAAAGAAATTTGGGGACGGGAATAAACTTACAGAAATTTTCAGCAAGCATATGCTTCTATAGGATTATGTGATGCAACATAACTCCTGTTGTGATGCGTAAGGTCTCTTGCAATTCTTAAAATCGTACTAGTGTGATTCTAGTAGCGTCTATCATTTTCTTGTAATTATCTCCTGTCATCCTTGACTTTTCCTGTTGTTCTTTGCCTATAACAATTTGCAGCAATGATAAAAGCCCAAATTAAGCAATATCAAATTTTGGTTTAGGTCAATAAATATTTTCATAATTTAGGTTTAGTCAATGAATATTTTATTTTTCAACATAGATCAATAAATCGATATTTTATTTTCAACTTAAGTCAACATTCCACTTGCCATCTAGTCAAGCACTAACTCCAAGGCAGCATTAATTCCAGCACATTGACTTATTTCTTATCTCAGTAAGTATTTAATTTTTAAACAAAACAACACATGTTAGTGTAACACAAATTTTTGCTCCTGTCATACTCAGTGAAATGGCAATCCATATTTTGTTCACATTCTCACAAATGTCCAGCAAAAGGTGGTAACACTTGTGAAGTGAAATGTGTTCCTGTGGATTTGATGACGTAGCTAAGCTGAGCTGATCCATCTTTGTCAATTAAGAAATCTGTCTCAAGTATCATAATTTTATATTGATGTGACATTCAACTTTGATGAGTAATCAGAAATTGGACACTAAATTATAAACGGAGTATATTTCCACAGATTTAAACTCCCTGGCTACACGTGAAAATATATGTTTGTGTATATGCAGTTAATAGGAACCTTATCGGTGTTGGCCCTGTCGGATGCATGACTGCTGACCAGAAGAAAAAGCTGCTGTGGGGAAACAAAAAGAGCACAACAGCAGAAGAGGTACCTCCTATGGTTTGTTAGTTTTAGTTTCGTCAAATAACATCCCCAAAATTACAATTCCAGCATTCAAACTTATTATCATGCGCTTTGCATTTGAAACACTTACATATGAAAAATGTTATGTTGAATTTGTAAATACCTATCAATTATTATTCTTATTTACTAAAAAATAACGGGGTTATGCAACATACAATATCCTTTTTCTTGAACAACATGAAAAATATCCAAAGTCCTTGCTGAGAAAAAGGTGCTATATATTTTAATTTTATTTTGGAAGTATACACCATTAATGTTATTGGTTTTATTGAGCTGTTGGGTCTAGCTTCACTCTGTGTAAATTGTTAGATGCCCCTTTTTCCGTTTTTACAGGTTGGCCACCGTTGGGATACAACTTTGTTTTCTGATCGGGAAAGACAAGAAAAATTCAACAAACTCATGGTAAACCTCCGTTCCATTTATTTTATTTTGTGTAAGTACAATTAATATAAAATTGAACCTTTCTTTTTTTCGTTCCTAAATGACTGACTTAGCCCTATAGAGTTTCTTCACCTACTAACACAATTTTAGAGTCTGAGGTTGCCTTGGTGCCTATGGCCAATTGTAGGGTGTGAAGGGCGAAGTAAAGGTGGAACAGAAACCCGAGAACGAAGATCAGAAGCAGAAGGAACTCCAAATGGATTTAGAGAAGCAGTACACTGCTGGACTGCGAAGAAGAGATGGCCGTACTGTTGGATTAGGTCTTTAAGCATCCTCACATTCCTTCGTACTGTGAAGACACCGGGATATTCTGTTGTACTCTTGTGCAAGAGTCACATTTATGATTCTATGCTAATTTTCTTATTGGGAGTTGTAGATCTTCGCAGAAAAATGGTTTCACATGACAATCTAACAATGTGTAAAGCTAGAAAATTCGATTGCAATATGCTCGGTATGAACTCAAGCTCCATTTTCCTATTGCTTTCCAGCCATCTTAATTCATGTGCATTTGTTCATCTGTGGTCTGTTTTACTCGCTTTACAGCAACTTTGTATGTGTGTTTGCGAGTTAGACCCTCTTACAGAAAACAATGTTTCTCTTTGGCGTCAAGCCATTAAGGCTTGTTTGATAACTATTTTGTTTTTAGGTTTTAGATTTTGTTAGAAATACAGAGCAAATACTGGGGAGAAGAGAGGATGAACAAGGGTGGAGGAAGAGTGGCTGGAAGGAAATGGAAAAAATGCCTATGGAATGAGGCAAAAAATAAAAACTAGGTTTACTTTTCTCACCACCTAGTTTTTGCTACACACATTCTCCTCTCGCCACCTTTCTTCATTGCTTATTCCCTAATATACTTTCCCTGTACCTTTAGCTAGAAAAAAAAAATATTAAAACTGAAAGCTAGAAACCAAATAGTTCTCAAAACAATTCCAATTTTGGTTTCTGCATGTTGTTCTTGTAGTTTCAATATTGCCAAGCGTGTAACGATTGCTGGGGTTCAGGCATGGAATCAGTCCATGGCTGTGGTTGGCTGCAACCCACCTCACTTAGGAGGAACCATAGCTTCACAGGCCATGTCTTCTCTATTAAGAAGAAACGTAGTACGAACTGCTAGTTAAGTATGAGTATAATCAGAGTGGAAAATGATCAAAACTATCAGGGCTTAATGGCAATTTGACCTTTTTGGTCTTCCAACTTTGTTAAAATTGTTGGATTTGGATGGGCATGTCACAGATTGTGATGCTGCACGGAGGCTGAATACTCCAAACTAATCAACATCCCATTGATATTAGTGACGATGGGGGGCAAATATCACTGCGGGAGAATTCTACTAACAACGTTCTTTGTCCTGTTCAGCTCCATTGTGATTCTGTGAATACCTTAGCCAAAGAAACAGAACAAGGAAGAAAAGAGAGTGGTTTTGCAACATGATGGGAAAATTAAAGAAATGAATAGGTAAGTGTCACTTAAGTTAAACACACGGGCAATTCATATGTGATGACGAGCCTAACATGTGAATAACCTTGTTTTGTACGATGATAGATTTAAAATTACTATGCAAAACTTCCAATCATTACCATTATCAATAGAAATAATAAAAATATATTGAAATTGTAGGAGCTCAATCACTGTCATGGTTGTTCTTTTCCATTATGCTTTGCTTTTGCCATCGAACAAGCTTTTAGGCTTTTTGGCATAATAGACACATCCCATTGCACTGATCGGGGACGTTCGTAGTGGTTGAGGGGGTCGAAGACCAAGAAGTGAGTTATTTATCAACGGACAAAACAATCACCAACTACCAATTGTAAAAGGCTTCATATTTTAGCTTTGCTAATGGAAATACATTTTCACTTGAAAGAAAAAAGAAAGGTGAAGTAGTGGAGTTGAGTTCATGTAATAATTGCGTGGTGTTGGACCAACCCCACCCCCCTGAGTTTGATCCAACTTCCACCACACTAGTTGCCCAACTCTTTTTCATAAGACCCCACTTGATCTGAAGATCTTTAACACATTGTTTCTTCCTAGTCCCCTCCCATGCCAACACAATTCTTTTTGGACAATTTATTATTATTATTATTATTTACAAAAAAAATTTAATATTGCCCCTTTCTCTTTTGGTGGCCCAGCAAAATCTTAATGCTGACGCCTTAAGATCATACCATTAGCCCTCTGCCTCAATAATGGTGGTTGTTTAAGAGATGGTGCCCTGCTTGAGATGATTTGAGGCTATTGCTTGCTTGGGCATGTAATGCTATGTGCACCAAAAGATTTGGAGGATAATATCATAGGGCACTTTATGGCTAGACCAAGATTCTATCACATGTAGCTCTAGCCTCAGATACCATCTCATTAGCCCATATCATTAAAGAGCTAATAAGGTGATTTTGGTATCTCCAACATCCAATTTATTTTTAGTGCCTCTAGTTCTATTTACTTTAACTTTTCAAATACTATTTGGTGGGGAAATTTTTTTGTTAGGTTTGTTCTTATCACGCGATAATATTGAGTATTAGAAACATTCAATTAGAATATCTGGAATAAGGTTTTTTTGTTCAAAGAATATGGTATATGCTAAAGAAATAAATATTAAATATTAAGTTTATACACATGTCATTTTCTAACGTGACTGGTTTGCCACTCTATAGAAAACGGACCACATGTACAAATTCTGGTACTCAAAACCCTTAGTGAGATTATTTTGGGAAGTAATAAATTTAGGGCATAGTTGTTATTGGTAGATAGTCACCCCTTGATTATATCAGTCCTTACCATGACATGCATAAGATGAAGCTACAATTGCAAATAAAATAATATGTCCCATTTTTGGTCTCATTCCTTCTAAGTTGTGGACAAAAACCTAGGAATTATCAGATTGACTCTTTTAAATAAATAAAAGTGATTTTTTTTAATATAAAAAAAAGTTAGGAATTTGAACATAGATGATATCTCTTAAGTTTGATTAAAATACAAGGTATGTTTATATTAATATTATTAATGGTATTTAAAATAATAAAAGTAGAAAAAGGGGGAAGTGTCATTGTATCAAAGCTCATGGCATAAGCAGAAAAAAAAACATGGAAGGACATTGGAAGCATCAGAGGCAACAAGGCCAAGACATAGAGTCCCATGCATGTCTTTTTGTGATCGATTGGTATTCACAAATTTCAATTCAACAAAGTCATAAAACGTCACGTCGTCCATTTTGGCACCGTTTGTGCAAGCAATATTATTGCATGGTTATTGTGGTCCGGAGGTGTTGGAGTTGGGTGGAAGTTAGGCAAGTAATCTGGTTGAGGCTCTAATAATGTTCTTGTCTTGTGACATCTCTTACCAAAAAGTGCCACCAATCCCCATCTAAGTATAAACCCCCAAGACTCAATTAATGAGATAAGAATTTTACTAAGGTCAGTCATAAACACACGTGTATACAAGGTTAAAGAATATGATTTTTCACCGTTGATGAAATACGAACCTCATATATGCGAACGGTTAAAAATGACACACGCTTCAAGATGTATATGTCATACAAATATTGCATGCTCTCATTTTCTTGACATATTAAATATAAACAAAAGGGAGTTGTTATAAAAATTGGATGAAACAAGGAAGACTCACATTCAACTTCAGGTTCATCCACATGTGAATCATCAAAACTTTTGCTACAAACTTGGGTTTCTTCTATATTAGTTTGCAATTTTAGGGGGCAACCTTTGTGTTAATTCACCTAATTCTGATCTAGTACCACCTATTCACCTACCATTGTTATTATTACAATTAGGCCTTGTGTTAATTCACCTAACTTGAAAAATTTTGATGACAGGTGGCTCTCTCAATCTCTACTCTTTGATGGGTTCTCCTCCAAAACTCACATGAAGATTGAAGGCTAAGATTATATTTTCTTACTTCCCTCTCAAATCCTTTCAATCTGTGAACTGACAGCTGTCCCCCACTCACTTGTCTGTACAATTTGGTTCTCCTGCTGGTGGGTTTTCACTGTGTCTGGATGCCATTTCATTTAATCTTAAAGTGGAATTTTAGCTACCCAACAGCAACCAGTTGCAGTGTGTAAATTAACTTCTCTTAATTAAAAGGCCCACTCCATGAGCCTACCCATTAATTCTGGGCAACCTATAGCTCATAACTACATTCTCAACTTCCATTGGTTCCCATAAAAAAGAAAAAAAAGGGAAAAAAGTTTCATTGGTTCATCTTTCTTTGTCAAATTACAAAAGAGAAAAATAATAGCTGTCATTTTTACCCTTGATCTCATCTCCCACATTATATATTTGCATTCACCATTGTTTCACTTGCAACTAGAACTTTCTCTTATTTTCATTTGATGCCAATCTCCAATCAATCAATCAAATGCTTTACCTCCTAATTTCTTGTGTCTCATTCATCCTTATTTCCAAGTCCTTCACTCACAAGCCAATACAAGCATGGGAGGGTAAGCTAAAATTGAGTTCTTTTTGGTTTTGGGGTGAGTTTTCAAGTTTTCTTGTGTCCTGGTTCCAGAAAAGTAGGCTTGCTATTGAGTTGTTCCAACCCATCATCTGCAAATTGAAAAAGATGATGACTTTTAGTTCAAAAGTAGAGAATGTGGAGGAGAGAGACAGTCTCTCTCTCCTGGATTTGCCTGACTTGACCTTGGAATGCATTCTTGAGAAGCTTTCCCCATCTGGGTTGTGCACTATGGGAGGAGTTTGTACTTCTTTGAGGGAGAGGTGCAGAGATGATCGTTTATGGGAGAGGCACATGATGGAGAAATGGGGTAGACTGATTGGGGCTGCTGCTTATAGAGAATGGCAATTACATGTGGCCTCAAGAAGCAGAGTCAGAAATATCTCTGATCAAACCAAGAAAAAAGGTCTTTTTGAGTCTCTTGTGAGTAAATTTTGGCCTTTTTCATGGATCAGACCAAAATTAGCAACTTCTGATTGCAAAGCGAGGACTAGTTTACCGGTTGAGTCAGTCATGTCTCTGTATATTTCTCTTGAAAGTGGCAAGTTCTGGTTCCCAGCTCAGGTCTATAACCGTGAGGTATGGCTTCAATTTGATATTTTGTAGTCAAATTTTTAGCTTGCACAATTTTTTTATTTGATGTCGTTTTTTGTTGTTGTTTAACAATTCAATGAAAACCTTATTTTCTTTTCCTGCAGAATGGTAATGTAGGCTTTATGCTGTCCTGTTATGATGCACAAGTGAGCTATGATTCAAGGACAAACACATTTCAAGCAAGGTAGAGTAACAGGGAGAGTAATTGATGTTAAGATATAAGACTGAACTTAGATTCTGGAAAGGTTTACTTTTGGATGGCCCTCTCTTAAATTCAAAATGGATTCTGTTTTGCAGGTATTCACCTTATGGGAGGAGGGCAACAGAGGATAATATTCCATGGGATAGACTAAGAGCGGCCCCAGTTGATACTCCCTCACATAAGCTTCATGTCACTGACTGTCTACATGACTTGAAACCCGGTGATCATATTGAAATCCAGTGGAGAAGAAACAAAGAATTCCCTTATGGTGTGTTCCCAAATCCCACCTTCAATCCTGGCTCAATTTTATACTAGCGTTTGAATTTTACTGGAACTCGAGTGTTAGATGTTTAATGGTTCACGATGTGTTAAATGTTCATTGTATGCCGATACTGGTTTTCACAAATTTCCATTACTTTGTAGGCAAATATAAAAATAATTTGGATTTTTATGTATTTTAGGTTGGTGGTATGG